AGTCTTTTATAGGGACAGCTTGTTTTTATTATTTCTATAATCTAGGAATTATGATTTATCTATATTATATTATTTATATTATTTAGAAGTTACAGAGCTACAGATGAGCAGCGTATTTGAGTAAAATACCCCCCAAAACTATTCAAAACCCAATTACTTTCAATTAACTTGTGTACAGAACTGCATGCATTAAATAAAAAAACTCAAATGTATAAAAACAGCTCGCGTGAATAACCCAGTGAAGCTTTTTCAGCATGCGTACAAAGGAGCTAATTTCTGAAACACAATTACGAGCTAATTTACTTTCCGAGTCAAGCTAAATATTTAGAACACTTATCATGCTTATATGCATCTAAAACATTATTTAATTTTTTTCAAATCTTAAAATGTTCACTAATTTTGGGAAAACCCTAATAGAGTGATGAATAGATGAGTGAAAAAATATTGGTTACCCAATGAAAAATGTAATAACCCAATTAAAATAGAAACCCTAGAGTAAAAACTCAATTGCTCAAAAAGTTATCTGGAGCTCTGAAGTTATGAATTAAACCAATAATCATTGCTTTGGAGACGTGTGCAAGTCTATGGGGACACATGCAGCAATTGTTGTTTTTTCATAAAACCATTACCATAGTTCACAGGCATTTGCTGCCTACAAAGCTCCGGATATATGATCTGTACCAAAGCGTTTACACATGTCAACATGGTCTACTTTGAAGTACAGAAGACTGGATGTAGACTTGCATAAGTCTCCAGGAAATGATCATTAGTTTAAATCATAATTCCTAGATTATAGAAATAATAAAAACAAGTTGTCCCTATAACAGACTGGTGTCCTTCAGCTAATCTAGACTTGCCTATTATCATTATAAGGATATAATTACTACAGACTTGGACTAATCATTCAGTACAGCCTTGGCACAAGGCTAGAATTGATGCGGTAGCTCCGGGTCTTTTAAAACTGGTCTAAAGGTTGGTTGGTTGGTTTGTTGTTTAATGCCGCACTCAGCAAAATTCCAGCTATATGACAGTGGTCTGTATATAAACGAGTCTGGACCAGACAATCCAGTGATTGATATCATGAGCATCGATCCACGCAATTGGGATCAATGACATGCATTATCCAAGTCAGCAAGCCTGACCACCCGATCGCGTTAGTGGCCTCTTATGGGATTTGAAACCTGGAAATCTTTTTGACTTTTAAATTCACGTGAAACGTTTTTCTCATTCACAAATAGGAAAAACATGCTGTTTGACTTGGTGAAATGGATACTGCATTTATCATATATTTTAGTTTCATCAATATTTCTTAGAACAAATTTAGTGTTTTTCCTTGGCATTCTTGAACCAGGTGGGTTCAGTTATAGAAGCATGTGATGTCATCCATAGTATCATGACATCATGGCATCCTAGAGAGAAGTCATGTCTGGTTCACAACTGTGAACACAGCAGGAGGGGGCATGGGTGACCCAGTCGTCTAGGGTGGAGGGCACACCAGAAACCTATCACAGTGTGTTCGAATCCCGGTTACCCCAATTATGTTTCTAGGTTTGTCAGCACCATACCCGTGCTCATCGGTTTCAACGAAGAGGTAAACGTCTGAGACCTGCATCACTTCAGGCTTTCCTCTCACAGTAAGCTGACACGCTGTGATATAACTGGAATACTGTTAAAAGTGGTGTTAAACCCAACTCACTCACTTAGCAGGAGAGTGCTACTGTAAATTACTAATAACATTCATATTTTACAATGTAGAATTTATGTGTATTCAGATTTTCAGATGTTATTGATTATTTTCAGTCTCAAATGCTCAACAAATGCTCAAGAAAACCCACAAATCTGAAAACTTATTTATCGCAACTGATAATTTTATGAATCAGAATCATTTAAGAATTGACCTTCACTTTGTGTGAGTTCATTGGAGTATGAACCTTCATAGAATGAGGGCCAAACTGTATGAACGTCGGAGCTTGTGAAGTCAATTCTTATAATTTTTTTAACACCATTTCTTACCTCAAATGATGTAAGCCAAAATCTAAACACAATTTTATTTAGTACGTGTGACTTCATGTTTACACTGACAGCCATACAACAACCAGCTATATCGCGGAGTAAAATAGTTCCTCAAAAAGAGAGGTGACATGGGTGTATGGGTACACAACTTGCTCTTCAGAAACATCTTACGCAGCACATGTGTTCAAATGATTAGAAAGTTCTGTAAAGAACTACCTCATTAAGTCAGTCACAATGACAGCGCGTCGTAATACATTTACATCAAGTACAAGACGTAAAAATGGCCGACACGATAAACGTGACGGGAGAGATTTCCGAAGTTCTTAATTAACATGTGGCGGTTACATGTGTTAGTCATCATTGATCAACTGGCCGATCATTGAAAGGTGAATAAAGATGCGTCAAACAGACACTAAGGTAAATTCATAGATTGCTGGAGACGGTCAATGTCAGCCTAGGCACGGATTGAGTCGATACTACAATAGTTTAGATGTGCATTTCTTCGTTTCTTCATTAGGATACGCCGCAGCGAGGATAGGGCTGGTGATTTAGATCGATAATCGTAATTATCATCGATGGAAGAAGGTTGTGACGATTATCGATATGAATATAATGCTATCGATAATGACATGTATTTTCGACAAATAAAAGTTTTTACTGCAACACATTTGACTTATTTGTTTTGCTCTCCTTGTAATTATCGCTAGATATAAACAGATTCACCCTAACATACAGTTTTCTCCCCTTCGCTTTATGTTTAGTCGCAAATAATAATCAAATGTTTCAAAAAGTAAAAAGTTCTGCTTTGAATCGAACGACGACGCCATTACGTGTTGTTAGTGGGTAATTACAAATGTAGTCACTGGCATCTAAATGCGGAGTCAGGATTTTAGAAAATATGTATATTTTCGAAATAGTATGAAGTATCATGATTAAAATAGGTTTCATAATACTTTAATTCTTAAAAAGAATTCTTCCCATTCTATTTCATAAAATTTCAAATTTTATGTCTATTTTGTAACTACGTATTCTAGTCTGTTTCGATTTTTTCAATGATCATAGTTTTCGTTTTTCCCGGTATTCTCAACTCACAGCCCACGTGAGGTCCACGTGGGGTTTGACATTTTTACGATATGGCAGCAAAAATTCCTAATTTCCCCGTTATAATCGCACGATGTTTGTTTAATATCAGTCTGCCACCCAATCTATTACGTATCACCTGTGAACCTAGTACAACCTACTACGTAGCACACACCTGTACACACCTGACATTCACAATGGCGGAATATTTGATGATTTTTTATCTGAATAGTTTCGTGAATACTGTACATAAATGACAAACGACTATATCAGGTGAAATTACATTTAATTTCTCAATTACCGTATTTTCTTGAGTACAGTGCGCACCCATGTATAATGCGCACCCCACTCTAGCGGGTTCAATATTTTGGAAAAAAAAGAAATTTGAATATTATGCGCAGAAAAAAATTCACCGTACCCTTTCAGCGAAGTCCGGCACACGAACGGGTGATGAGAAACTTCGTCAGTACAAATTCGAAATTTGAGATAAAAAATCACCAGACATGTTTATTTACCGTTTAAATAGTATTTATTGTTCTGCTAGGCATTGTTTTATATCCAGGGATTAAGATTACCTTGTGTATTTTCTCGTAAACTAAGCCGGAAACACCAATCAGCTGTACACACGTTTTCTTGGAATCGACCGGTGATTCGGTCAAGACACACCCAATGATATAACTTAATAGGATTTTTAATGCAAGGATCGGCAAAAATTGTATATGAAACTATTTTTTTTATCAAGAATAATATATTCCATTATTTTCTTAATTATATGCAGCCTTTACTAAACATATTTAAAATAGATAATAACCCTAAGCGAAGCAGCTGATCGCTATTCCCGGGTATTATTTTTTACATGGACCCAGTCTGACCAGTCACCGTCAAGGCTCACGCGCACGTGATCGCGTGATCGCGAGAATTTCATGTTGACATAGAATCGTCAAACAAAAACAAATATGACTTTTAACGAGTCAAAGTATGTCATTTATGATATATGTATCCATTCTCTGTCAACTAAAGTTCGTTTCAAGACGTCAATAGCGGTATTCTGACCGTGGTTGCTGTTAATAACGGTGAGTTGTGCGATCTTCCGATCGCTTCACACACGATTTCGCCGAAATTAATAAAAACAATATTAAAAGGAATACTCAAGAAAATACGGTATTCTCACTTTATACAAATAATAATTGTCTTTGACGACATGAATCGTAAACTCAGATTGTTCATCGCTAAAAATGCGATGTAACGTGCGTATTGTTGAAACACTGAGTCTCCGGAGAAGTGAATTGCCATTTTTCTGTAATGTCATTTTACCAAAATAGAATTCTTTGATATTTATCGATTATTGATCGATATGTGACTACCGATAATCGATCTGAGTAATCCATATCGATAACCAGCCCTAAGCGAGGATATTCGTGAACAATCATGCAGTCAAGCTCTCTGACATTTCTCAATGTATACTAAAACGCTGAGACCAAGAATAAAGGTTCTAAATGATCAGAAAGAACGCTTATGTATGTTTTCGTGCTAGGGAATTCCCAGGGGTTTCCCCAGGAATGTGGAAGTAGTCCGTCAGTGTTTACGTAATTTCAAGAACACGATCTTGTGAAAAACGTATGAACGTCAAATTGTGTTGTTCATACACTTATGAACATCAATTTCACGGTCACGTGACCGACCACTCATCCAATGGAAATGCCGAATATCGTGTAAACTTCAAATTAAAAAATTATGATATACTGAATAAAAATATTTTTGGGGATATTTTTATGAAATTGTGAACAAAATCCCAAAATTATTCATGGTCCCTTTTTTTGTCTCAACACTATATGCAAGGTTTTAGCAGTCGTGTTTTGACATTAGCAATCCAAGGGGAACTTGGCAGTGGATCTATGTTTACTCACCATGCGTACAGACACCCGACATATACAAGACTCCAGCAGCCCCGTTGTAGCGTTGGCCATCATCTTGCAAGTGAAGGGGAACTTGGAGTTCCACTTGACGCTGTTGTTCCGAACGGTCTCCCTGAAACAACAGAACAGTTGTTATGTTTGTTTGTTTGTTTGTTTGTTGTTTAAAGCCGTACTCAGCAATATTCCAGCTATATGACAGCAGTCTGTAAATAATCGAGTCTGGATAAAAAAAAATCCAGTGATTGATATCATGAGGATCGAGCACGCAATTGGGATACGATGACATGAATGAACCAAGTCAGTGAGCCTGACCACCCAATCCCATTAGTCACCTCTAACGACAAGTGTAGTCGCCATTTACGGCAAGCATGGGTTGCTGAAGACCTATTCTAGCCCGGATCTTCACGGGTGAGAACAGTTGTGTTCCTGTCTGACATTAGAGAAGTATACGTTAGACCACGAGGACCCAGTGTCTAATCTGTGAAGTGGTTAATTAAACCACAAGGCTCGCAGCGCAAGTATGCCATTCATTTTGGAACAACTCGCACACATTTATCAATTAACTAACTATTACTTGACCATGTTGATGGGCCTATTATGAGCAAATATAGCCCTGATCAAGATAATAGTTATTTCTGTTCTATCTGTTCATTTCGTTGAACGAAAAGCTACAAAATCACAAGTACTGTACAAATACTAAAATGCATAGAGTAACATACTGTATAAAAATTGCACAAAACACATTTCGCAGTTTTTATTAAAGGGATAAGCAATTGGTAATATTGATAAATATTTAGTTATTAATTTCATACCCTTTCTCCCGTGTCACCGTGGCCGAAGACTACATTTGTTAGCCTTCAGTGCGGACTTCGCGGGTTCGAATCCCGCTTTAGGCGATAAACGTTTTTCATGAAATTGTTCTATCATCAAGACAAATGATAGGGGATAACATAAGTTCCATCATTGCCAAGTGGTGTTAACTGACAATTCAGTTTGTTAGACCTCGGTCAAATACTAAGGACCAATGACTGACAAGAAGTGAACATTAGCCAATCAGAAGGCAGCCTTCTCATGCTTTACTATGTTTACAGCACTAGCTTCAAACTGGTGACAATGCTTCAATACATATTTTGACAAATTATCATACAATAAAACACTGCAGGGAAAATAAACCACACTGCAGTGTTTTATTGTACACTAACCAACGACCATGAGTCGCTATGCAACATTTTTTGCCAATACACATCCTTATCGTGTATATTCTCATCATAATAATCATTGTCATCATCACTATTGGTAACCACAGCAGTAATGGTAATACTCTTTATTATCTTCATTACAATCATCACTAAGTTACTGTTACTGACTCTAAAAAAATAGTAACCATCGTTACCATGGTTACACAAACATCATCAATAACTGCAGTATGTATTCATAATCAATGATCGTTACTACATAGTACTAGATACAATTTACCCGTACAAGTCAGGTCAGGAACTGTTTGTATGACAGAGTGATCTACATAGTACTTAATAATATAGCCATGATAACCCCTTTGTTCACATTTGACGAATTCTGCACTGCCACCATGTTGTACCAAGTTTCGAGATACTTGATCAAAGTTCAAGTAGGTCATCATTGTGACAACGAAAACTTGAGATGTGACTGTTGGATGAATGAGATCTAATAAAACAATGAGAACTGGGTCATAGATAATAATCATGGATAATATTTCAGATAAATCTGCTATTCAGGTTCATGAAACATTCACACGCTAATCTTGAACATGCTGTGAGCATATTGGTAAACTCCACTTGAACAGTATTTCAATCATTGTCGGTCAGATGCTATCATGGTAATGGAACCCACAAGCATGGTGGTGCTAACCATGCTAACCAAGAGAGTGTGAGTGATTGAGTAAGTTAAGTATTAGAGGCACATCAGCAACTCTTGATTGAGTAAGTTAAGTATTAGAGGCACATCAGCAACTCTTGATTGAGTAAGTTAAGAAATTAGAGGCACATCAGCAACTCTTGATTGAGTAAGTTAAGAATTAGAGGCACATCAGCAACTCTTGATTGAGTAAGTTAAGAATTAGAGGCACATCAGCAACTCTTGATTGAGTAAGTTAAAAATTAGAGGCACATCAGCAACTCTTGATTGAGTAAGTAAAAAATTAGAGGCACATCAGCAAGATCTCCACCATATAGCAACGGAAGCATATAATAATAAAGGATGACGTCTGCATAACAAACACTCCATGCACAAATGTGTAAATGTTATCCATTCAAACGTTTGCTCAACAGACAGCATTAGTTGAAGAGATGGGTCTGAGCTGGTACTTGACCTGTACAGGTGAAGGTGAGGAGTGAATGAGTGGGTTAATTGGGTTTAAGGCCACTTTGAACAGTATCCCAGCTTGATGTGGGAGTGACGCAGGTCTTAAACGTTTACCACTTTGTGAAACCCATGCACACGGGTATGGTGCTGACAAACCTAGAAACATAATCGAGGCGAACCAGGATTCAAACCCACGATCATCAAGTTTCTGGTGTGCCCAAGGGACGCAACTCGGCACAGCAAATTGCGGCGCCTTAGATGACTTGGCCACCCATGCATCTGGGAAGATGACTTCAGCTCCAAAGACGAGTATTTCTATGATGTTCAGCTACTTGAGCGATTGACTGACATACAAGTGTTTTCAATTGGGACTGTGAACTTCAAGCTTGTGTGGAAAACTTGACCTAGAGCTATTGCTGGCGGTACTCTTTCACAAGGTCACATGAAGAACCAGGTGATATGCCATTCACGCTTTGATAAGTGAAAGACATCACTTTGAAGTATATTCTGTTTTGGATAGGAAGCCAGAGTACATTTAACAAGATGTTTGTCATTATTTCTATTTCAAATACATTTGCTTACAACAAGATTCATAAACAACTATTAATATAAGTTATAACTGAATAGTATTCCATTTCAGAGACTATTACAGCTTAAATCAAGCAATCTTTTACTTCCATATTTTCATTTGATTGCAGTACTTGATATATGTATGAACATAGAACTACACACAGGCCACCTGCTGGCTGCAGCCTCCATAACTAGCCTGACCCTTCCAGTAACTCACGGATTGATTACAGTTTATATATCAAGTGGCATTTACTGTGCTAACCACATTAGGCCAGAGGAAATAACAGACTTGTTCTTCTGAATCACCCTCCTTTAAAAAAAAATAAAAACAAAAATGTAATAAGAACAACTCATTAAAAAGGCTCTAAAAAAGCAACAAAAGCTCTAAGGAGGCAACCATTTGAAATATTTGGAAGCTTTGACTGAATATACATATGTCTCAAACAAAAATCCCAGCCCTCTTCTCCCTTAACAGTCTTTACCAGGCTAACCAGTGGTTGACAGCATGAGCAACATTGGGCATCACAGTGACCTGTAAATAATCAAGTCTCGAGCAGGCAAACCTGTGATTGACAGCACGAACAACAAAAACTGTCACAATGACACTGTCAGGTCAAACACTGTAACCAGTACTAACCATATCTCTTTATGTCAGTCAGCTAAAATAACAAGCACGGGATACTGGGGACCTTGACCTTCAATCACAAATAGAAAATTGACCATGTTGACGCTCGACCGTGTACAATGTCAATCTAATCGTCCTGCCACACAGCCAGCACACATGCATTCATAACTATTGATCTGTCGACAATATTCCCCACCATATCATATTATACCACAACTAGACAATAAATCCCATTCTCCCCTAGAGGATAGCATTGTGCTATGCATTTTAGGGAGGTTTTGTTGGTTATCTTGCAAAGCTATTCAAGCAGATGGAGAATGAATGGATTTTGTCTGTTAAATACAATTGATATCACTTGACTCGCAAGCAGTATTAGATATGTTAGAAGCCAGCAACATGTCTAGTTAAATATTTTACCATTGGTCGTATCCACCTAGGAGCTCATTTTGGACCCATGTGGGAAATCAAACCCAGGCCTTTGGTGTGAAGAGCAAATACTTTAACCACTGGACTACCCCACTGCCACGGGGTGTGTATCAGAGTATAGTGACTGCTCAGGGTTCAACAAATGTGCTGAAAACAAATTCTAACCAGAGTGAGTGAGTGAGTTGGGTTTAACGCCGCTTTTAACAGTATTCCAGTTATATCACGGCGTGTCAGCTTAATGTGGGGAGGAAAGCCCGAAGTGATGCAGGTCTCAGACGTTTACCACTTCGCTGAAACCCCCGAGCATTGGTATGGTGCTGACAACCCTAGAAACATAATCGGGGCGAACCGGGATTCGAACCCACAATCATAGGTTTCTGGCGTGACCAAGGGACGCAACTCTGCACAGCAAATCGTGGCGCCTTAGACAACTGGGCCACCCGTGCCCCCAATTCTAACCCGAATCATGGGCAATGTTTTGTGTAACCATGTACACTGAACACTTTAACTGGAATAAAACAAAGCTACTAATCTCGGGTTCATTAACGTTGGACCCCCACACCTCTTGTACATGTTGTAACGATCACTGATTAAGCACAATATTCTGTATGACAGAAGACAAACCAGATAAAAAAACATATACAACAAGGCAAGGTGAAATTGTTAACTGAACACATTTCCCCTCCCGGCATGTTGTACTCCCTGTACACTGTGGTATTCCTGGCCTATCTGTCTCTCCCACTTACATGCAGCCATGTCGTGATAAGGAACGGTAACTGCAGGGATTATCTAGACCTGCTCAGAGGCCAATATTGGACCCAAATAACGATTCATTTGCATGAAGTACAAGTCAGGGGCACTTAGTAAAGAAATGTAGATAAACCCCTGAATCGATTAGCTGAGTGGCAGTTTGGCCTAACTGTTGAAATGGACATCGAGAGAGAGATCCAGAGATCGAGAGAGAGAGAGAGAGAGAGAGAGAGAGAGAGAGAGAGAGAGAGAGAGAGAGAGAGAGAGGAAGGAAGGGGGAGGAGAAGAGGGTTAGAGCCAGCGAAGGCTTTAAGGAAGTAGAAATTAATCCCTTAGTAAGTGAGCAGTTATCTAATCAGTCTGTGTATATGTGTGTGTTGCTTTGCGGTGGGACTGTGTGC